AAATGTGAAAAGTCCAGCCAATGTCATTTTGCAGTCAAGACAGAAATTCCAGGAAATCCTAATGTATGATTTACAAGATACATGTCAAATATTTCACATATGCACGAAAATGACAGGAAGAAAATAGTTCTGCTCTGTAAACATTAGGTACAGTTAAATAACACAGAACTGGAGAAAGCTGTACTTTCTAGCTGGTCTTGCAACTTGATTAGTGCCAGCTGGCTCCTGAAATGAAAAAAAGAGTCCACTTGAGCAGGTCACTTTCCAGAATGAGATCTGAGGACAAGACGTGGCTGCAGATACTTGGGAAAGAACCGTTAATAGTAACTGGAAGAACAAACTCAGTACCATCACTGAGTATACCAGAGATGTGTCTATCCTGCTGCTCCAGAAACTGTGACATTGCTGCAGTACATACACACAAAGCTCTCCCCTGCAATTATGGCCAGTGAATATATGGGTTTGACTGAATTTCCCTCTGTAAAAAAAAAAAAGGGAATAAATGCAATCTTTTTGATTTTCACAGTGCAGCAGCAGAAGATCCAAAATTCAGTTCTCTCTCAGGCAGCAACATGACTGATAACTCTATTTTTTTGCATACTGATAAAATCTCCTACACTTTAAGAATTATTAAATCATATCTAGCAGGTAATTATTCTATAATGAGCATTAACTGCATCTAAGATGTTTGGTCTGGAAGGACCTTTCAACATCTTCAATATTTACATTGAAATTCTCTTTTTCTAACTCAGTAACAAAAGACTTCAGAAGTGATGTGAGATGAAAGAACATTTTCAGTGTAAAATGAGAATGTTGTCATAGAGGAAGTGAAAATAGGTTAAAAGCAATCTGAAAGGTAAATGACTAGTTGTTGCTTCTTCTATGCCTTACTCTGTAATGTTAACATAAATAACATGAAATCCAAAGACCTTCTGAGAAGTGTTTTCCAGCTTGACCCAGAGAAATGCCTAAGGCTGGCCCCTGGATTGTCCTGAGGCTCTTCCAGTTTGGTATCAGGCACAGCCTTTATACCTAAAGACTCAGTGAGGTCATATCAAGAAGGCCATTGTAAAAAGAGAAGAACTTTTCAGGACAAATTTCAGTCACAAAGTAGAGGTACCAAGTAGAATCCAACCCAACTTCTTTTCCAACTCCGCTCTGCCACTCACCTCCTGCAGTATTTCAAACATATTGTGGAATTGATTTTTTTATGTAAAACAATGGTTCTCAAGACTGCAAAACTGGTAGACTTCTGTCATTTCCCTGTGACGTTCATAACCAAACCTCTGCCATTTCATTGTAGCAAATGGTATCTTTTAATGGTTTTGGAGTGCTGTGTGATGTTTGCTCCTATGCTTAAAATTCTAGTGTTGTTTGATTTAATGTGTGGAAAAGAATCACTGCGTATTTTAAGTGAATTATGTACCAGAACATCATAATTTTTATGAATGAGTGACCTCATAATTTTCAGAGACATCACTCGAAGAAATCAAAGATAAAGGCTGTATTTATTTGCAGAGTTGTTTGCAAAATTGTTGCCATAGCTTTGGCCTCTTTTTTAGATCACACTAAAACCCTGCGGTGACTTCTCCAGAAACTGATGTCCTCCACATTAGCATTTATTTACATTTGTTTACCTTGCTGTTGTTGGCACCTCATTCCGGTTCGTGTCACCTTTTTTTTCCCTATGTTAATGGCCATTTTTCAATTCACCTTCAGCACTGAGATTTCATTTCTTGGTTTTAAAGGTATGATCACATGAGAAGTGTTGGTTTCTCCTGTCTTCAAGAAGATGATGAAAAACCTTGCTTTATGAATGGCCAGTGCAACTGCTGTGATTGGGACCCACAGTGACATTATTTTCCCTCATAATCATATTAAGTCAGACGTAGGAAAAAGAAGGGCAGCTGGAGAGTATTAATAGATCTTGGGGGTGTTATAGATCTTAAGGCCTGTAACTGTGCTGCAGAAAATCACTAATTTATTTGCCTTTCAGTAAGAATCTCTAGAAATAGAAGCGTTTTATGTTATTTTTTTCCTAAAGAAATAAAAATACATACATGCTAATTGCACTTCGGAGAAGGAAAATTAATAAAGACAACTGCGCCATTCCCCATTAGTGGAAATGCCTGCAGTTAACCTGCCTCGAGCACTTTCAATATCACTGAATCCCTTGGGTGGGATTTTCCAAAGTGCCAGCATTAGCTCAGCCCTGCTCCCATTAAAATCAATTACTGACTTCAGCCTGGGAGGGGAGTCCAGAGAGTCCCTGTGGTGCCCTGTGTGTTGGAAGATCCTAATCTTTGTGTGTGCTCTTCCTTCCCTATTTTTACGTGCATGGCTGCACAGGTGCTCAGATACATTCGTGAGGGCCAGGATTTTCCTCAGAGGACCTAAAAAGGAGCCAGGAAATCAGCTGTGCGGAACAAAGAGTAATGGAGGGTAATACAGATCATGGAGGCAAGGGGAGCCTCACATAAGATGAAGCTTCATCAAGTGCCTAGTGAAGTCAGCTAACTGCAGCCTCTATGCCCCAATTCATAGAGCAAAACCTCCCAGAATACGTTTTCAATACTACTGCACACAGTATATTTTCTGTCTGTGGAATCCAATTGTCATGGGCAGTCACCAAGGCAAAGAGTTTAGTAAAATTAAAAAAGGATTTAAGAAGCTTTGTGAGCAAAGACAACATTTGCAGCTGTATGCACTAGATTACAACAATGCAGGGGACAAACAAGCTTCCTGCTTCAGCAGCATAAGCCGAATGCTTTGAGGGTCAAGAAAAAGTGGTTTTTTGGCATATGTTAGCCATGCTGATTTATTGAGATGTGTGATGGGATGGTTTAAGTCTTCACTAAAAGGAGTGATAATGATAATGAATGCTATAGGTAGATTACTTGCTAGTCCGTAGTGCTGGCACTTCCACAAAAAGGGTATCAGTAATAATTTTGTAATGAAGTCTCCTCCCAAGCAAGGGACTGATTTGGCACTGATGAGAGCAGAATTCAGATCTTAGCTATGAATAAGGTTTCCTTTCTGACTCTGGGGGTGGCTTATTCTCTCATCACCTGAGAAATGGGAAGACAATGAATGCTTCTCTATTTCTTAGAGGTGGAATGAAGAGAAGGTGCATAAAGAAGAGAGTGTGCATATTTTATCCACAGCCTTTATGTGTTTTTAATTCAAAGCTGTCATCCCACTGTAATTCAGGAATACTTTAGCTGGAATTAACCAAGATTTTTCTGATTTACACTGATTAAATGAGTTCAGAAAATGGTGTTTTCACTCCACCATTCGTGGTGCTCCTCTGCACTTGTTCCTACACACAAATAGTAGCAGTCTTCCATAAGAACAATAGCCCTGGGAAAACTTAGTGGCCCTAACCCAGAACATGAGCAGTTTCTGCGATGGATTATGGATCATGCTGGCTGGCTTGAAACCCCAGGAGCTCCTGTCCAAGTCTGCATTCCTATTACGGGCTACTGTTGTCATTACAGCACTTGCTGCAAGGTCAGGTTCCCCTTCAAGACATTCTTGTTTATGAACAGTAGATAAGATCTGAGAAAAGACATTTTGAATGTATAGGCTGGATGAGCTGAATTATTTATGTTAATGGCTATGGGTGCTATACCTGTTGCTAAGAAATACTGTAATACTTTGTTGTGACCCCCATTTGGAAATGCCATTATAGTGAGCTGAGCAGCAATAGATATAGTATAGGCTGAGCAAGCTATTGATGAGCAGAAAAGGGTTTTTAACGATTTTGTACCTTGAACACTGTAGTTGGCAAAAAAATTGATAAAGAAGCAGGTGAAAAGAGTCAGACTGCTCTGTTAGAGCTTGCAGGGGTCACAGGCACTCCAGGTTCCATCAAACTATGATGGGATAGCTGCATATATAGAGAGATGTACCTATATATGCACATATATGTAGTTTTGATTGATAGGTCTTCATCAAAATACGAAATTTCCACTGCACAAGTAATTGAGCTTTCTTAGGTCTAACAAAGCAATCAAAATGGGAGGTTTGTTTTGTCTTTTTTTAATTTTGAACTCTCATATTTCCAGCCTTTGCCTGGTGTGTCCTTTATGGAAATTGGCACAAATGTCTAATGATCTATATAACCTTTGTTTGTTTATGTTTTCTTATTCAGAATTATTTAAATACAAAAAATAAAACATTTGAGGTATTCAAAATTAAGCTCTGCTGCCAGCAGTGCCTAGCTATACTTAAAATTGAGATTCATAGACAGTATTTAGGGAGACGGTAGGGCCATGGAACTATTGCCTTGATTAAAAACAATGATTCATTTTATCCTTTCTTATTTGGATGCAGATATACATTTAAACCGACCTTTTAACCTACTCAGAAGGCTGCACTATTTTTATTAATTCATTAGCTATTAATTTTATTGGTAGATGTATGACTAAATCCCCTGTACTACTTTGAAAACCTTACACAATGTCTGCTGCAGGTATGTACTATTTCCCTGGCCTGGGGGATGATTTTACATTAGTAACTTATGTATATAATTGGATCGTGGTTCTGTAGGATGCACACAGATCCAGTCTGGTCCTCAAGCTTAAAATGGTCTGACTCTGACTTCTCCCCTACATTAAATTAACTGTGTTGACTATTGTCTGCTCAGACTCAGCAACTTAGCAAGTTCGATATAAAGGAACAACATTTCTAGATGCCCAAAGCAGAGTTTGCCTTAGTTAGCTGCAGCGTCTTCTTCCTTTTGATAGAATTTTGTAGTCGAGGGTAAGAAGCTTTGCACACTTCATGGCAGTGCAGTTCCTGAGCTGCAGTGGTGCAGAACGTGACTTGGCAGTGCTTCTGTGCTGGGTTAGACGTAGCTGGAGCTGCCACAGAGCTACAGAAGGAACTTGGCCATGGCACACCCAAGTTGCTCCTTGTATTGCCCGTACACTCACTGTGATTTCTCCGTTCATCTTGAGTCTGCTTCTCAGGAGGTGTTGTCATTCTAATCCCTTCAGGGTCATGGAGGATCAGTAGGAAAGCATGGTGGGATTAATACAACCTGGAGACATGGCCTAAACCTGCTGATAACATCAGATTCGTAGTCACTGCCAGCTCACTCTCACTGCTGATATGCAGCAAGTGCAGAACAGCACTGAAAATTGAAGTGCTTATCACTTTTATTAAATAATGTGAGTCCAGACATTTTTTAATTGTGCACCACTTGCACAAATTATGAAGCAATGTATCAATAATAGTCTACTATTTGGAATAGTTGGATTAAAAATATTTTATTTGCAACTCCATAAGGGTACTGTTGTTTCTTAGTGATTAATGCATGTATTTTTAGTCCGCATTGAGAATTTATATACTTCTGCATCTGAAACTTTGATCTCAGCTTCTCTGGGGAGTTGTTAATTGGCAACATTTCATTACGTTGCCCAGAATCTGGAAGTGATTACGTGCTAAGGTGAATATATATATAGCAAAGACTTTTTGCTAAATATGTTAGAATTATACATGTGAACTTTGTCTTTAAAATTACTTAATTGTATGTACACATGAAAATCCTATTTTAAAAGCTTCCTCTTCATGTTGCTGGTGACCTAGCATGTAACCTCGTCAGTAAATTAGTATTTACACAAATACAACTAGCGTCACTTTGCATAATTGTTCTCATTTATGGAAAACGCTGTGCTTTAGCCGACTGAAGTTTTCTCCCTGTCAGATGCTGACAGATAAAACCTGATGCAAACAAACATGCCTGTGTTCTGTCACGACACAGCAGCGGTTCCAGCACAGGGGGAGGCACGTTCCCGGCGGGAGGCAGCGTGGATGGCACCTCTCCTGCGCTGGAGCTTGGAGCCCCAGCAGCCCACGCAATGAACTGTATTTAAGCGAATCTCCTCTCCTATAGCATTACTTGCAGTAGCGAGCAATGCGTTTTATTCCATTTTGTGAACAATTTAAAGAATGGCGATCTCGGCCCTGAAGCTGTGGTAGGATGAGAAACAGGGGCCAACTCCCGGCCGGGGCACAGCGGGGACAAGGCGGCGCGGTCCGGGGCTGGCCCGGGGACAACGGGACACACCACCGAGGATTTCGGCAGGATTCCCAGGATTTGGTAACTGGCTGCCTACAGAAACCCTCGGTGATCGGAATGGGGAGCGTCACCCGGCGCCTGTAGCTGCGGACGGAACCGCAGCCGCAACTGCCCGGGGCGCGGCCACCGCCCGCCGAGAGCGCGCTGGCCGCCGCCCGGTGCGGGCGGACCCGGGCATCGGCACCGGGGGATCGGCTCCCCAGGGATCGGCTCCCCAGGGATCGGCTCCCCAGGGATCGGCCCCACAGGGATCGGCCCCACAGGGATCGGCCCCACAGGGATCGGCCCCACAGGGGCCGGCACCGCGCCCTCCGCCCCCCGCGCGCCCGCCGGTCCCGCGCGCCCCTCGCCCTCGCGGCGCTGCCCCCCCCGCTGGCGGCGGTCCCGGCGGGGCGGGGCGAGGCGCGGCCCGCGCGCCGGAAGTGAGCGGCGGGGGGGCCCGGGCGGCGGCGCTGGGGCGGCAGCGGCGCGCGGGGGGCGGTGTCTCCCTCCGCTGCCGGGCAGGGACGCGCCTCGGCCACCGGGCGGAGGCGGCTCCGCGCTCGGCGGAAACAAGGAGCGGGAAAGGAAGGGAGCGGCGGCGGGAACCGGTATCGGCGGCCACCATTAGCGGCCGCGGGACGAGCAGCTACAGCAGCAGCAGGCGCCGCCGCTGCCGCCGCGGGAGTCTGCGGGCGGAGCGGAGCCGGGTGCCGCCGCCGCCGGCAGCGAGCGGGAGCGAGCCCGCCGCCTCGCCCCTCTGTTCTGCGGGGCGGTGCCGCTGCCCGCCGGGGGCTGCCCCGGAGCCGGGGCGAGGTGAGTGGCGGAGCCGCATTCGCGTCGGTCTTGTCTGGGAGAGCGGGCGGTGGCGGAGCCGGCGGTGGCAGAGCCGGCGAGCGGCGTTTCCTGCCGGGGCACCGCCGGGGCTGGGCGAGAGCACCGGCGCGAAGGGGCTCATTTACCGTCCCGCCGCTGTGCCCGGCACCCCTGCACGCCCCAGCGTGGTTTTTTTTCCAGAGAGGCTCCGCTGTGCTGGTGGTGACTGGTGGAGCTTTGTGTGCCCTCGCGTTTTCCCCGGGAGAGGCATGGCTCGGGAGAGGCTGGGGAGCCAGCCGGGGATGCGCGAGGGATGTAGTGTGTGGCATGCAGACAATGTCAGCCTGGGTGAGTCTCCACCCTGTGGAGCCGCAGGCAGCGGGTCCCCGCACAGGCACCGCCGAGCCGAGCGCTCCCACCGCGGAACAAAACGCGCAAATCCTCGATCCTGGTGCGAGAAGGAAACAATTTGTTTGGACTGCTCGTTACAACGTTTTGTTTTTATCACAAAAACCCGACCACGGAAACATCAAAGCTGAAGTCTTTTGAGCGCTTTAGCCGCACGGCTTGCTGAGGGCAGGCTGGTTTGTGAGGAGCCTCCCAAGCAAGGCTGGTTTCTGCATTGGGTTTCATGAAGGTGGGAGAGTGGGATATTATTTTTTCTTCATGGGGAAAATCACTGATGGTGGGAGGGAAAGGAGGAGTGTCTGTATACGTGAGTGTCACATGACCTTGTAAAATTCATACAGCTATACTTATTTTTCTCCTGCATTAATGCCGATCGTCTTAAGAAGCCAATGACTTACCTGTTCATTTCAGAAGGTTTTATTTCTTCTGGATTTTTTTGTCTTGTGAGGCAGAAAATAGTCACCTGTGTGGACACTGTCTGTGTGTTTTATCATGCATTTTATAATTTTTACTAGTATTTTAAGGGTTTTTATGTTTTTAGTGGGTTATAGGTGTTCAGAAGGGAACAAACAGCGGTATGTGTAACATAATTTCTTTTTTACTGGAAGAGTACAGATACACTTCATCTTGCACAAGTATAGTGTTTCATATGGCTAATACCTTTATATTGCCATTCACGTGGTAGATGAATGTTTTGTGAGACTGTAGAATCACACCCCCTCCATTTTGAACAAATTGCCTCTTTTTTATCTCTTCCCCCTCACTTCACTGTTCTCCAGACATCAGCTTGTAAAACACCTTTGAGCAGAAAAAATAATTTATGTTTACTGATGAACAAATTTAGATGTTTACTGAAATAGTTTGTCTAAACCAGCAAATTTTCCAATTTTATTGTCTTAAATCAGCTTTTCTCTGCTGAGAAGTTTCCTATTAAAATAGAGGAACAGAAAAATTACTTGCTAAATCATCTTGAAGAACAAAAGTATAGGTCATAATCTAAGGAATACTTTACATATAAGTTGTATAAAGATCTAGACACATCCGTATTTAATACGCTGATATCCTCCTTGGATGGATGTGGTGGATAGTGGAACATGGACTGTTTTTCTGCACCTAAGTTAGTATGTGGTTTTTCATATCACTGGGTGATGCTCATATGACCTTACAGAAATCCGTGTTACAGAAGCTTTTTGCTTTTATAGAACAAGAAGGTAAGTGGCACTCGGGAATTTATTTATTGCCCTCCTACAGATCTCATTTTCAGATAGATATTTTCCTAAAATGGCTTCATTTTTAAACTCATATGACCTGCAATGAAGTGTCCATCTACCACTGCTTCTCTGACTCAGCATGTGGTGACAGAGAAAAGTATTGCTAGGAGATAAACCACAGTTCAAGAAAGCAGTATAGTGTACCAGCTGTTAGTCTCTTGAAAGAATATAAAAAATAATGAAAAAAGGGACACTGACAAATTTTATATCATCTTCAATCTGCCTTCCTTGCATAGTGTCTTGAGACAGGTTTGAATTTAAAATAGTTTTTTTACAGGGGAGCAGTGCATTGACACAAACTGTTTTGAACATCCTGTGTGTTACAGCCTGTTCCTTTCTTAGGACGGGAAGCCATGGTGCAGGGAACACCTGTTGGTTTAAAGGAGTGTATGAGATTGCTGGGATACCTTTTGTAGGCAATGGTTGATGATTGATTTTAAGAGGCTTTATTTTTCAAAAATAAAATGACTTCTCGTAGTTATTTCAGTTGTTGTCTTCTTAGCTCTTCCAGTAGGAAGGAACAGTTTGCTCCCGAAAGAAAAGCTCCTAGTAGAGCTTGGTTTTTTCCAGGGATACATGGGTAGGCTTCATCTTGATGTGAATTCATTTGTTACACTTTTCTAAGAGCAGGCATCATTAGCCCAGAAAAGGTAGTTAATTCATTCTATGTGATCATAGTCTTAATGTCTGAACTTGGTTATAGACTCCTGGTAAAATTGCTCCCTCAAACTAAAACTGTCGAAATTATACTTCATTTTCTGAAATCCAGTTGGTCATTGCAAAAGAAAAAATGTTTTCAGAAATGTCCAAAAGACTTAATTACTAACCTTACTGAAATTGTAATTGACAAATTTCCATCACCTGCTTGTAAAATTGGGTTTCAAAGACTGTATCACTGAATAGTGTTAGAAGGGCAAATGAATATCTATCAAGCATTGATGATGAAATAGTCCTGTCTCAAGTTCTTATTCTGACATTACCTTTGCAATTAAATCCCTTCAATATGTGTAATAAAATTGTCTCCTAAGTGCAACATTAAAAGTTGAGTGAGTTACTGCATACTGTGAAAACTGCTACCTTAACAGCATAGAATTCATAACGCAGTTTTTTGCGTGGAATTTCATTCTTCTTGAAACTTGTAGATGATGCTAAGACAGTTTTGCCCAACTACTGCTTCAATCAGTGATGAAAAAACCCTAGTGCTTTTTTGATGTCTGTGGATTTCCTTTAAGTAGTTCCATTGATTATTAAGGTGAAATATCTCTGTCTCAAATACTGATTTGATTGGTATTGGAAAAGTACACTGAAACTGTGTTTGACAGATTTTTCTCTCGGTCAAGGGGCTTGTAGATTTGTAGTGGTACTCTTATGTTTAACTATAAAGTTGCTGAATTGATCCTTGTGATACACCATTAGTGAAAAGGCGTCTCTTCATGATGAGGTGTCACTTATAGACTTTGACTTGCTAGAGAAGACGGCATTAGCAAAACAAATACACAGGTTCTTTGAAAGAAGTTGTGCCACATGTTGTTTGTACACAGTCATTAATCTCTGTACAGATGCGTTTGCTCTGCCTGGAATAGCCTCAAGTCCCTGCTTGCATCTCTGACAGTGCTGCCCCAGTCTCAAGAAGTGTATGTTCCGCTCTGTTGTCCGTTTTTTTTCTTGTAGGTCCCTTAATGAGGTGGTATTAGTTAGAGCAGAAGAGAAGCAGTTGAGATCGGAGACAACTTTTTTCCCCTTTTTTCTTACGTAGCTTTAGGGATCACTGAACTATTGTGGATTGAAAATACTCAGAAAGAGAAGAGACTGGTGAGATTAAATCCATGGAAGTTCTGTGATCCAGTTTGCAGCATAATCCACAGCATCCAAATTGGTG